GAAGATGATGTGAGTTGAGAAGGCCTCAGTCAGTTTTTTTTACGGAGTTTTTGTTGTCAGTGCTTTCCTAGTTCGTACACCTGTGCTTTGATTTCAGAGACCGTACGTTTGATGTCGATACTCGTTACACGAAGAAATGCTCAGCTGTTTTTAAAGTACATGATGAAACGTGACTTAGTGACCTGATGACCTGTGCTGTGAATTAAAATGTGATTTGTGCAGCTTGTGATATCCTCAGGGAAGTCAGTGTTGGGAGGAACCAATCTGTAGCAACCTGTGATCTGTCGTTTCAAGTTATTTTAAATAAACAACACGTTGGAGAGATGCACCATAGTTGACTTTATCGAAAGTGCTCAGAAGACGACAGTAGATACAATCACGCTGGGGGATAGTTATGGCTGGCGATGTATATTTACCCAGTCGTATTTTTACTCCCTCTGGAAAAGAACATACAATTATTATCGTTTACTTTTGTTTTGTATGCAGATTATAACGTGAGCTATTTTTACATCTTGACTTAAATTGTACACATTCAGCTTCGCAGCCCGCTGGTATTTCTACACCATGCCGCAAGGCGTAGAAATTGTTTTGGCTTAAATTGCACTGTGGCGTAAAATTATTATCGTAAATTACATGCTTAATTCTTCCTAACGCCCCCTTACACCCTTTACCTAGGGGTGTAAAATGAATTGATTTGGGGTGGAGATTTGTGTACCGTACTTTTATTCCGCAACGGGTGTAGTTCTAAGCTTACGAGGATATATTACTTACTACCGGGTGGCAGAATTAATCTCCAATTGTCCATGCAAACATCTTTTACTCTGGCATAAAATGAAGTTAAAAGGGGTGGAGATTTGTGTACCGTAATAATATTCCAATTTCAGGTGTAGTTTTTCTTTCAGTGCATGACCACACTGAAAAAAAGTACACCTGGGTTACATTTTTACCACCCGTCATGCAATATATTTTTATCCGGTTTACACCAGTTTTAGGAGTACTTATACTCTTTTCCTGAAAAAGTGAGTGCAAAATTACACCTGGGTGCATTACTACTCCATTATATGGAATACAGAGGAAAGAGAAGTGTACTTTCACTCTTTCATACATTGTAGGGGAAAGTGGGGTAAGACGGTCAAGGTAGGTAAGACGGGCACCCCCTCTGCAGACCAAACCAATAGCGCTACGAGCGAGAAAAATTAGGACCAGAATAGCCTTTCCCACTACACACCGCCATTGAAGTCTGGTGAATTTGTGTTCGGTCAATAATCTTTTATTTTGATTTCTTTAAAACACTCATTTCATTGAAAACATTCATAATGTATTGTGCAAGCTTTTGTGTGCAGCACTATAGAGTTAAAAACTGGCAATCACTTGTGGCACACTCATATGCCTCCAGTGTTCATTCACCGCGGATTTGCTTTGTCTGCATCAAATTGTCCACAGAGAAAAATCGTGCTGAACTTCTGACATTGAGTTTGGGGTAAGACGGGCAACTATGAATCCGATGGGTCTGTAATGGTAAAAATATTTTTGTTGCTGTAGGAAAAAAGAAGCATTTCTGATAAGAATATGTTCGATTCCGATACTCACAGACATGTTAGCAATATTCCTTCGGCACAGTTTATTCTCGAATAATGAATGTGAAAAACGGCTCTACATGGCTTCTGAACTAGGGCCTATATACGAGTATACGCCTTCTGCACGAATCTCGTATACTGCCATTTCCGAAGCACTTGAGACCAACGAGCGACTGTATCAATGCGGCTAATCTCGGGCATTTGCTGCGAGCTGTGCTGGTCGGTGAAAGAAGCTGGCCGTCTTGCCCTACCCATGTGACCGTCTTACCCCATGGAGTGGGGTAAGATGGGTTTTTGCAAGGTTTTGCAAAAATAGCTGCAGTTTATTTGTTGAGTCAGGTCTAAGTCTCATCTTCTGGCAAATGGAAGTAAAATGTCTGTAAAAGGTTTTCACTCAGTTTCCCGTTTCTATGATGTTTCTAACCGGCCGAAAAATGGCTCCAAAGTTAAGGTGCCCGTCTTACCCCACTTTCCCCTACGCTCTGTTTCACAGGGTGCATAAATACTCCACTTAGAGTTATTTTCAACGAAGCGTAATTTGACACCAATTGTCTAGTGTAATTCTACTCCATGATTGGTAAGCAGAGTATTTTTAGAACATATTCAGATTAAAATTTCTATCTGAGACATAAAAATATACCGGGCGTCAGGAACGTCTGAAATAAAGCGTAAAAGCAAACCAGCATGGCGATGGGGTGGTGTGAAATTACTCTTTGAAAGTTGATTTTGCACCTATATTTGTAAAGTTGCACTATAGGTAGCACGCATGCGCGCTGCACGGTTTCCGGTTGCCGCCATTTTCTGGTGTTTCAGTTTGCGGTTGGCAAGGCGGTTGGTTCTCACTGCGCAGTGTAAAACGGTGATTTTGCGAAGGGCAACAAGTCGAACTGCGAAGGTAAGTCAAAGTGTGGATATTGAGATTGAGATGTGGTGTTAATTCAAATTAGTGTATTGCTATTTAGGGGAAATGATCCAGGAACGCAGCTAAGTGAGGTGTTCAATCAGGGCTTTGGCTTCTATTTTTAGGTTTGCAGGCTTCAGCTTCTGTTCAAAATTGTCATCTGTGACATCACAAATCAGTCTTTCCCTATGTACCAGGCCACATTTCTGTCTAGTACCTAAATTGATTTTTTAATCTATCACAATAATGCTTAAACCACGTTTTAGGCATTTTTCAACGAACAAGTCCATCTAAATGGGACAAAATTAACACGCGCACTGCAGGGGGGGGGGGTTGTTTTCAACCCCCCCTGTGGTTTTTCGCAAATTGCGAGAAAACGGCGGCGCGTAGCGCCGCCAAATTTTGCATACCTGTTCTCACAACTTTTGCACACCTTGAGTAAAAATTTTGACCCCAGGTGACCTATGGTCAGGTCACCAGGTCAGGTCAAGTGACCCTACCTCGAAACGTAAATTTCGAAGTTTGCAATCCCACCAAGCCCACAGTTGTTGAGATATGAGCGCTATTGCATAAAACTTACGGCACCAGATATTTTACGAATTGTCTTAGAATCGTACTTATTCTACGCCATTCTGTTTCACAAAGGTCTTGAAAATAGTACGGAGAGCAAGGAATTTACTCCAGCACGTGACGTAACTTTTGGGGGTTTCTGTTGCATAAAAGCTACGATTTACGAAAAAGTAGTTCGCCGAAGCGCGCAGAAAATGTCGCAGATGCGCCAAATGTGTAAAATTCGTAAAATATTCTACGGAGGGGGTGGGCTTCTTAGATTTTAGCCGAAAGTCGGCAACTGCAGCTGTCTGACGCCGAATTCCAACTTTTTGAGTCCTTATACGGCCATGAATGCATATGAAGGTAACTCCTTTACACACTGATGCTTTCTTATCCTCGAACAATTTATAGAAAGACTGCAACCGCACCTCTCATTTCTCAACCAATGCAATAGCATGATATCAGCATGGTCGTACCTGACAATCGTACTGCAACGGTGGTGACTGACGTTAAAGCACGCTCGTAGCTCGTTTGAGGAACTGCAGACGCATAAGTCATCAAACATATCAGCCGTGTCAATGTTTATTATGTTTATTATGTATTATGTCGATGTTAGTTGACGATTTTAGTGAACATACAAACACACTCGCCTCAGATTCTAGCACGTATGTACCATACGTATTCAGAGAAAGTCTGTGCACCAATACGGCCGCGATTCTAGTTGAGCTAGAGACCCACCCACGTAAACTTGACATGTCACTGTAATCGTAACACGCAGAGCGCTTCTTAAAAAAAGGGAACAAATGATGCTGAGCTTGCACAGCCTCACTTTTCCCGAGTGCGCCAACACCGGGATAAGACGCTGCTGATAGGACGATTTCAACGAAGGTAGTGACTCTTGGCGTAGCAGCCGCCATCTATCGGCGATTTATCAGAGCCCTCTGTCGGCTGAACCCAGCGGGATTCTTCAACCTTCATGTAGAACAGCCGAATGCCGTGGTCAGAAGACTCCTCCACAAAGTCGTATAGAAATTCCTGAAACAGATATAAAGATGTCGGTAAGTATCAGAAAGACTAAAACGAATGGATTGAGAGGAGATCATTTTCGAAGGCAAAGTGGCTGACAGAGCATGAAATAGGAGAGAGGACTGAGGGAATCAGGAAAGAGGCGATACATATAGACAGGGACGGAAAAAGTAAATCGAGCGAATAATGAACTTCTTATGGGTTTTATATGGTACAACATTTCTTTGAGCATGATTGTAATCAATAAAAATGTTAAAATTGACCTTGTGCTCATAATATCAGATAAATTAATTGAAAAAAGGTCCAGAATATATTTTCGAACTTGGTTCTTCGGTGGAATCAAAAATATTCTGGACCAATATTCTGGACCTTTTTTCAATTAATTTATCTGATATTATGAGCACAAGGTCAATTTTAACATTTTTATTGAACTTTTTATCACACCATGTATCTCCTCGCTCTCGGCCTTCATTGAATGCAAGCATAAAGGTCTGTGACTGTGCCCTGCTATGCTGGTAAAGTTGACTTTTTAAAGCCAATTTTAGCCAGTGCATTTAATTAAATTTAATTAGCCAATTTTAGCCAGTGCCATTTAATTAAATTTAGTTAGCCATGTCATTTAATTAAAGCCTGTGAATTGAAAGTAATAAGCAATTCACTGGCAGATTCAGAATAGTCCAGTAGGTATCTAGATGCTATGCTGATATGCCCTTAATGCTTACGTTTGAAACTGAAAAATATCATGCAAGCCCACAAACGAATAGGTAGGTATTCATCTTGTAATACCTAGATTAAATGCATTCTGTTTTGTGCCTACTAATTCAACGCGCGAAAGCATGTTGCTTGCAAATATATAATTAAACGTAATTTTGTGGATATTTAAATGATTTTAATGATAAGACACCTGGCACCATATCAATATGATATGGCATTTCAACATACCTAATTGTAGATAATGGTGAAGAAAAAAGCGACAGAACATTGGAATGTTGCGAGTAATTGAGGGCTGAGGCTAATAAACACGATGCCAAATTCAAAATACACCAAAAGAAAATATAGATCAGGAATTGTAGCGGCATTAGCTTTAACCATTAACTATTGAAAAAGCTCACGATTGGTCTGAAAGGGCTGAGCAGTGAGCAGTGTGCTGCCAATGAACCGACACTGGCGGATCCAGACTTGCGTTTTGGGGGGGGCCAACTCCTGCAAGTAACCAAACCTAGGGTACCCCCAAATCCTGTTTTCTCATCGGATTTAGGCCACTTATTTTTTCGTCACAGCCCTGAAACGATATTTTTTTTAAACTAAAAATAAAAAAATAGAAATGGTAGCCCACCCAACCCGAGCCTAAATATTACTTTGAAAACACTTCAAATTGCTTTTGTCGACCAATTAGCCCGCTCCGGGTCGGTGCGTGGCGCAGCCTTCGCGGGCTGGGAGGTGTCGGTTGGACCCTCTGCTGTTCGGCCCCTGATTAAGCTAGAGCTCGCGGAAAAAAAAACAGGCGTGTTGCCCGTGAGTGACGAGACGAAGCCGATGATACCCGATTTTAAGGTCCTTGGTCATTGGTTGACCTTTCAGGGCGGTGTTTCACGGTCGTGCTGACAGCCGCTGACAGCGCATTCCGCGAGCTAAGGTCAGCCTTCGGTAGTGTTGTGGGTATAGGCTTGTTGATGTCTCCATTGAAACCAAAAGTGCCATCAGCGCTGGCAGCGGCTGGCAGCGTGCCGTGAAACACCGCCCAGGTCAGGTCACAGACCCAAAAGACGGGAAAATCAGGACCTGTCAGAACCTCCTAAAGTAAGGCTGTAATACGTTTTTTTTGTGCTGATCACAAATTTCATGTTAGTTTGGATCATAGATAATGTCTTCATGCGTTTAGACCATGTCGGGGCAGGTCAGGTCAGATCAACCAGTAGGAGTACTTATGGGCGTCCGTATAGCAGGTGTCCACTACCACTGGCAGCTAAACATGATACGAAGGCATCAAAACTACTTCGTAAATGTTCAAATGGCTGCAAAATGCTAAATTCAAAATCAGCTAAACGAAACTATCCTAGAAACATGTTAAACTCGGAAAAGTGCACCGAGGTCATCAAAGGTCAATGACCTGACTTGACCGTAAGGTGACATTGGCATCCGCCCTAATGCGTGGGAGCAACATCATATCACATGTTTGAGCGTTTTAAACCACGAAAAGACTATAAAAGCGCGGATAATGTGAGCCGACATACGCCGAATCGCTATTCCGGCCAAACATGGCCTCCAACATGGCCAAACAGTCTCGAGAAATAGGCCACAAGTCAAAGTTCACTTGGGTCAGGGTCATGAAATTTTCAGACTTTGTCACCATGAGGGTACTAAAGTTTCGTCGCGATCGGCTTCATGATACCTTACACGATAACTTCACACGTCGATCGAGAGTTAAAGCATGGATGAAGGAGAACCAGGGGATGAAGGTTCTTTCATCCATGGTTAAAGTGTGCAATAAGAACTTCTTGGGTGAAGACAAGACCAACACTTTTATCAAGCTCACAGATTTTTAATGATACGGTATTTTCTCTCTACCTACTACGCCCTTCTCACATTCATTTTTCTTAAGTGTTTTTGGGGACAAAAAAATATATGTTGTTCCCCTTTCAGGCTTGGGGGCATGACCCCGTGACCCCCCTGGATCCGCTAGGCCGAAACTAACTAGGTCGTTTTCAAACGGTCTGATATTTCAGGTCATAGTTTGCAAACGGCCGGTGTTTTCAGGTAGTTTCATATGGCCTGACTGGGCCAGGCCGTTTGCAAACGGACCGAATTTTCATACGGCCTGTAACATATATTCAGATTTCGACATCTGTCGTAGCATCAAATGCTGATGTGGCGCACTCAAAAGCCGGAATTGGTCCTTGGATGCCGTAAGGACCCTTTTAAGAAATAAGTGACCCGACTGACCCTTAGAGATTGGCCTGAGCTGTGACCGAAATTAAAGGCTGGGGGGAAGACTTACGCCTTAGGCTGGCGTAAGTCTTTTACCGTTTCGCAGGAAGGGACAAAAAGGTCCCTCATATGCTTCTTGTACAATTACGAAACAAAACAAGTTTTTTTTTCAACGAAAACTCAGTGAGTTTTCCTAAAAAATTTATTGCGCATATTCCGTGAATGAAAAGTTGCCGGGTCATGTCACGTCAGGCTGCCACAGCAAGTTTGTTAACTTGACAGCTCAATCGATATTTATGCAATGAGACCTTCTCGGGTGACGATAAGACATGACGACACTTTATGAAGGAAGCTAGTAAACCCGGTAGTTTCTCCATAGGCGCGGGAACCGGGGGGAGGGGGCAGTGGTGGCAGCTTGCCCCCCCCCCCCCCCCCCCGCCCCCCCCCAACTCTGGGGCCGTGCGGGCGGTGCCCCCACAACTTTCAGACAGAATACCGCCCCTTTTTGCAAATGTTTTCTTTTTTTGTTCAAAAAGCCAAGGGATGAAAAATAAGTGGCCTAAAACCGGCGAGAAAACTATATTTGGGGGATCCTAGGTTGATCTCTATCATGGTGTGACCTCCCCCCCCCCCCCGTCTAAAAGTAGTTCCCGCGCCCCTGGGTTTCTCTACGCTATTGAATCACGCTGCTGATTCTAGTAAGTATCTACTACACAACCTTCTCACATTAATTTTTCTTCGAGCGTTTTGGGGGGCCAAAAGATATGTTGGCCCCCTCTTTCAGGCTTTTTGGGCCCATGGCCCCGGTGGCCCCCTTGAATCCGCCAGTGGGGGCGGTGCCCCCACAACTTTCAAACGGAATGCCGTCCTTTTTTGCAACTGTTTCTTTTTCTTTCTTTTTTGAAAAAGCCAAGGGATGAAAAATAAGTGGCCTAAAACCGGTGAGAAAACTAGATTTGGGGGGACCCTAGGTTGATCTCTATTATGGTGTGCTCCCCCAGTCTGAAAGTAGTTCCCGCGCCCCTGACTTTCTCTACGCTATTGAATCACGCTGCTGATTCTAGTAGGTATCTACTACGCAACCTTCTCACATTAATTTTTCTCCAAGCGTTTTGGGGGGGGCCAAAAGATATGTTGGCCCCCCCTTTCAGGCTTTTGGGGGGGGGCCATGGCCCCGGTGGCCCCCCCCTGGATCCGCCAGTGTGAACCGACAACTGTTCACTAACCATTCGCTATAATAGAAAACTTACTTGTTAGTCTGGGCCCTGGTTATCTTAATTCTTCATTTTCAGCCACCAAATGATGATCTTGTTCGATCTTGCAAGCCAAGCTGGACACTTGCCTTGAAATTCTTCATTCTTCTTTGGAATGTTGTTTACTTTCGTGTCCTACCTAGCAACCACCGGACGGCGAGTGTACAAATCTCAGCTTACTTAATTGGCGAAAGGTGGCAGTAGCAGCTACGGCACTGTTCTAGACGGATGCAGTCAAGACTCAAGATGCAGTGCACTCAGTTCTATGCAAATTTATGTAGAATATCGACTGAAACCCATAGTGAGGGCAAATTATCTATGATCTTAGAATATCCCACACTCCCAAGATGCCACGATCGATGTTGTTTACAAAGCCGACCGCCGCTTGATGTGGGAGGGCGCATGAATATTGAAAAGTACGAAAGGTTTTCTAAAGTCGCTATCAATTCAAAGTGATTTGAACAACTTATCCAGACAACGTGATTCACACATTTCAGTACACTGGAACTTTAATCGCTTTCATTATTGTCACCATTCTTCTGCATTTCGTGCTGAGATCCGGCACTATTTTCATTCATGTATGACGTCATACCTAGATTTTCCAAATATTTACGAAGTAGGTCACGGCCTTTATGCAACAGGTTTTACGGTGTTTCGTAGAGTATGGCCGTTTCGTAAAAAAGTTAAGATCTACTCCGGTGGCGTAAATCTTATGTTTATGCAATAGCGCTCTGATCTTGAAACCCACAGGAAATAGTAAAGTCATCACGAGCTACAACTTGTATATCTCGGAATTTTTATATCGATGACCTAAGGTCAGGTCATTTTTGCGACCGGCCCATTATAAGTCAATGGGAGAAATTTCAACTTACTCTGAATGCCATCCTATAACTTCAATACGCTCAGGATCATAGTATTACAGGTCCCTGTTGGTGATTTCACCGAAAAATATCACTTATGACCTTTGGAAGGTGATCTCCAGGTCATCTTAGGTCACCTGAGGTCACCAGCGGTTTTTCTTCAATAACTTGAGATTGAGTAGAGATAGAGACTCCGTTCGACGTTTATCGTGTTTTTCTCGTCAATGCGGATCGAATGATATGCAACATGACCTATTTCGGTCAGGTCATGACCTTGACCTGAGGTCAAATTTTCAACTTGACCTTTCGAGGTCATATTATATATCATTCGATGCGCCTTGACGAGCTAAGAACGATGGCGTTCGAATCGATCCTCTGTCTTGTGTGCAAGACAAGTTATTTAAGAAAAACTACCGCGAAATTCCTGTTGTGAAAATCGTAACATTTTGTCTTCGGTGACCTCTGGTGACCTCGTTTTTGACCTGACCCAAAAATGATCTTAGTATTTCTTGTCGATCTCATCTTAACATATCCAACGCCGTTTACCGCTTGTCGCTACGTTGCGCCGTTTTCGAGATCTCAGGGGGGGTTGTTTTCAACCCCCCCCCCCCTGCAGTTCGTGTTCGGCTCAGACCCGCTGCAGTGCGCGTGTTAATATAACATCCAAATTCCAAAATGGAGACTCTCACCACCAAATTGGGTAATATCGGCGCCAGGAGACTTGTCCCACCAACTTTTCATGCATTTTTATTTTCGAAACCGGTTCGCAAGACATGTCGAATGTGTTGTGCGGTCAATCTAACTTTTACAGTTTTCGAGTTACGGTTGCATTTATCCGGTAATGTCCGAAATAGTCAATTTTTGCCTGGGATTTCCTGGTAAGCGATAAATGGTCGAGGCAACTTCATGAGTTGTGTTTATATATCACCGAGAGTATGGTTGTTCTGTATTAGCATGTCTTCTTTTACTTTTTGGCCTTCAAGCGTGGTATTCTCAATATCACAGTGCGATTTTCTTATCGTTGTATGTGTTTTTAAAGCCAAACCAAACGAGTTATGAATGTACGGGCTGCAGGCAGGATCGTAGTTAGCAGGTGCCAAGTCCAACCTCCTGTTCCCCTCTTTTCAGCTATGGGAGGAACTGGCCCGGATAAGGGGCGTCGAAGAAGACGAGGCGCTGAAGAAGGAGGTAACTGAAGAGACGCGTCGGCTCTGCCAGGAGTTTGCCAGTCGACTGCTTCTAGGTCTTGATTCCAGACCGAACAGTGGTAAGTGTATAATCATTCCGTTATAGGAGCGTTCCAGGACAGATCACCAAGGCATGTACAGTCTGTCTTAAAAGTACCGCGCAAAGTGACGTTGGATCCATCATGCCTGACCGAGGAAGGGCCTACTGCATTTGAGTCACCGAAGCAATTCACATCCTCGTCCATTCTCTAGGTCAATTGGTTCGGTGACTTTCAAATTATAGCAGGCCCTACCTCAGTCAGGCTTGATGGATCCACCGTCACTTTGCGCGGTACTTTTAAGACAGACTGATGATGATGATTTGGTGTTTTAGGGCGCACCAGCAACGAGGCTATATGGCGGAAGACAGACTGTACATTAGGGTGGGGCGAAAAACACTTTTTGGAAAGTGCTAAGTACATCTAGTGAAAAACTTGGGCCATAGTTTCAAATGAACACATGCAAAATCTTAGCCGATCGGTCAAGCATAGACATGAGCGTATTTGCGATGGATGAAGATCTGCAAACGCTTTCAGGCGTTGCAGTCTCTAATGCTAAGGAGCCGTTGCGATTGGTGTGTAACACCGGAATAAAAGCGATTCGCGAGAAAAGACGAGATCAGTGGACTAATGATGGCGTATTTCATCAATACTGAACCCCACGGGCCGACCCAGGGTCCCTTTATCATCAACATGGATCCGGATCCTGGATCTACTGGATCCCTGGATACAGGATCCGGATGTCTACATATATCCTTATATTATGTTTTCAAAGTCAATGAATAGGATAATTGTTCATCCGTGTATGCCGAATCCTGGATCCAGTGGATGCCGAAACCTGGATTCAGTGGATCCCAGGATCCAGAATCCAGGTAGCTACATTCGTTCATTTGCTGTGTCATCAGTGATAATGCAGATAGAAATTTGCCTGCAAGTACGAATTCTCGCAGAACAGGTTGGCCAAACGTTTGCCCTCGATACTGAGAGCAGCTTCATTCGCCAATATCAGCGGATCCTCCAGCCTCTCGAATCGGGCGGGGATTTGCTGTCAGCTGCTGGTTGTCCTCATGCCGCTTTGCGCCGATATGACCAACAGCGCGGTGATGCCTTTCGGCTTCCGGTAGCACAGACGACACGGTTCAGCTGTTCAGCTGCCTTCGATACACCGGCTTGAAATACGTTTTCAGTCTGAGGCTGACTGGATTCCGCTTGTGTCTAGTCCTTGAACAGGTTGTTTTCTTCGTGCCACTTCAACACTACCGTCAGGGTGAGCCCTGAGCCGTGATGTAGCTGGACACAATTGTAGTCATCAGAACTGACTGTAGCTTCAGCGGCTCGATTCTCTCCGTTTCTCTTCATTATGAGCCATTCAGATGGTCCATGTCAGACAATATGTGGACGGCACCGGCTTTAGCACACTTTACCTTCTCCCTTGAGACTCGAATGGAGTAGACCGTGCAAGGCGTTAGGCGAAGTCGGTTCTGCCGCCGCGTGAGCCTCGGGATGCGAGTGCAGACTTTCGTACTGATGATGATTATCGGCAAGCCCGTGTCCACTGCATCAAGCATCACAGATAATTAATCGGCGTTCGCTGTCACGGTGACCTACGAGGCACCGTCAGATGCGCCGTATGTATGTATGTATGTATTGACGATCAAGAGCAATCCACAATCGGCGTGGCGATTACACTCCGAGTATGCCGCCGCGTTAACTACCTGTCAGTCATCTGTGTCCCCGTCCCGTGAGTGATGCTGCTCCATTGCCCCAGCTTCACTGGCATCTACTAAAGGAAATGACGTTTCACGTAATTGTAGTTATTAATCGTACTTCAGAATTGAAGTACAAGCAGTCCATGGTTAGCAGTCTTTGATTATTCAATCATACAGTAATCTCATGGTGGCTGTCGAGACCCCAGGACAGTCAGCCGAGTTCGCATCTGAGACGAGACGGTGCTCTCAGTAGACGCCAATGAACTGGAGGAACATCAGACCCGGCACGGGGACACTAGGCAGGTGACACGGTGCAGATAACGTTGGCCTTGAGAGTCATCGTGACACCGTGACGAACGCCGATGACGTCTCTGTTATGCTTGAAGCAGTGGACACGGGCTTGCCGATAATCATCATCAGTATGAAAGTCTGCACTCGCATCCCGAGGCTCACGCGGCGGCAGAACCGGCTACGACTAACGTCTTGCACGGTCCATTCCATTCGAGTATCAAGGGAGAAGGTGTGCTAAAGCCGGTGCCGTCCACATATTATCTGACATGGATCATCAATGGCTCATAATGAAGAGAGACAAAGAGAATGGAGCCGCTGAAGCTACAGTCAGTTCTGATGACTACAACAAGTGTCCAGCTACATCACGGCTCAGGGCTCACCCTGACGCTAGTGTTGAAGCGGCACGAAGAAAACAACCTGTTCAAGGACTAGACACAAGCGGAATCCAGTCAGCCTCAGACTGAAAACGTATTTCAAGCCGGTGTATCGAAGGCAGCTGAACAGCTGAACCGTGTCGTTTGTGTTACCGGAAGCCGAAAGGCATCACCGCGCTGTTGGTCATATCGGCGCAAAGCGGCATGAGGACAACCAGCAGCTGACAGCAAATCCCCGCCCAATTCGAGAGGCTGGAGGATCCGCTGATATTGGCGAATGAAGCTGCTCTCAGTATCGTGGGCAAACGTTTGGCCAACCTGTTCTGCGAGAATTCGTACTTGTAGGCAAATTTCTATCTGCATTATCACTGATGACACAGCAAATGAACGAATGTAGCTACCTGGATTCTGGATCCTGGGATCCGCTGGACCCAGGTTTCGGCATCCACTGGATCCAGGATTCGGCATCCATGGATGAACAATTAGCCTATGCATTGGCCATTGACTATGAAAACATAATATAAGGATGTATGTTGACACCCGGATCCTGTATCCAGGGATTCGTTAGATCCAGGATCCGGATCCATGTTGATGATAAAGGGACCCTGGGTCGGCCCGTGGGATTCAGTATTGATGAAATACGCCATCATTAGTCCACTGATCTCGTCTTTTCTCGCGAATCGCTTTTATTCCGGTGTTACACACCAATCGCAACGGCTCCTTAGCATAAGAGACTGCAACGCCTGAAAGCGTTTGCAGACCTTCATTCA